CTACTACTACTACTGCTACTAGTCCTACTCCTACTCCTACTCCTACTCCTACTCCTGCTCCTGCTCCTGCTCCTGCTCTTGCGCGGAAGCTGCTGCTAGCACTAGCACTGGCACTAGCACTACCCCTACAACTACCTCTGTCACTACCACTACCACTACCACTACCCCTATCACCACGACTACTACTAACTACTACGACGACTACTACTGCTACTACTGCCGCTGGTGCTATTACTACCACTGCTGCTGCTACTGCTGCTGCTACTACCACCACCACCAGCACCACCACCACACCACCACGGCAACGACTGCTGCTACGGATTCCACAACAGTAGTTCCGTGTTGACGGTAGGCACTTGTTTGTGGGTTGCTTCACTAGCCTCGCAAACAAGCGTCGTTCGGCATCCAAGCAGATGTGCCAGCCACCCTAAGCTTACGTAGTTATGACCCCTCGCGTGGCAATAGGAAGATGAACTTCTGAGACCTGCCACCACTGAGACACTGCAACCGCTGGTGCCTCCCAGAAGTGCCCGACGACTTCTATGTCACTCTCCTCAGATTCAGATATTTTTTCGAATTTCGATAGTACCGTGCAAAATCCAAGGCCTCCGCACGTTGTTCAGGGAGGTGCTTGGAAAACGCTTCGCGAAGCAGTGCCAAGAAGTCTTCACGTGCAGAACTTGAGTTCTCCCAGCAGAACCGTCAAGACTTGTTGGATCGAATAACTGCGTGGGCATGAGACTGCAACATGTCAGAGCGACGTATGCCGACGAGGAGCACGTGCGTTGTTAATCTGGACATCATAGCTGAAGATGAAGGATCCGTTTTTCCTACAAGCGATGGTATGCAATGCGAACACTGAGAAAGCACTGGCAAGCTGGCCGCACACTACCTTCCCCCTTGATCCTACCACGAGTTGCATTCGCTCAAGCTCGCGTGTGCATCATGATTTCCCGAAAAGCGCTCACAAAAAGATCGTTTGTCGACACCCCAGTGAATGAGGCAATTGAGCACCGCATTTCGACTGAAACAGGAGACATGCGGAGACTAGTTCGGGGTGAAGGATTCGATGTCCACTGCTTGTGGCCGGTAGCAGCTGTGGTCCCAAATACATCCCACATCTGCATGGTTTGCTCGGCCTACCCACGAAGCCCTAACCATCTGTATCGAACCGTAGGCTTTCGATCTCGCCTCCGCACAAGGTCCGCACGTCCTCCGAGAATCACCTTACTTCTTTAGGGTCACGACCTTGAGAATGACGAAAACTTAGAACGACAAACGCTTGGGTGCGGCATAAATACATATATGTATAAATGTATACACACACATATATATATATATAAATACAGATATAGATATATGTGTATGTATATGAATATCTGTATGTCTATGCAAAGGCAAGTGTATGTATATGTATATCTACATGTATATCTATATGTATATCTATATGTATATCTATATGTATATCTATATGTATATCTATATGTATATCTATATGTATATCTATATGTATATCTATATGTATATGGACTTATATGTATACGCATACCTGTGTGCGTGCGTTTGCGTGTGTGCGTACCTACCTGCTACCTATGTACGATGCTCATGTGATGCGTGTATTTATGCGTATGTATGTATGTATGTATGCATGCATGTATGTATGTATGTATGTACGTATGTATGTATGTGCCTATGTACGGATATCTTAATGTATGCATGCATTGATGCATGCCGCTGCATGTATGTGCATATGCACACGCAGGCAGAAAGCCAGAGACGGATTGTCTGAGAGGGCGGAACAGATTACGCATGTCCCAAGAGAAGCTTGCATCTCTCCTGCAGCCAAGCAGCCCGTTCCACTGCCAGGACACTAGTCAGTGGAAGCATGCCTGTCGGAGCCCGGATTACTTGCTTAGGGAGATCGAGGGAGTGCGTCCAGTCGTCGCCGCCGTCGTGCTGGTGGTTGCTGTTGCTGTTGCTGTTGCTGTTGCTGTTGCTCCTGCTCCTGCTCCTGCTCCTGCTCCTCCTGCTGCTGCTGCTGCTGCTGCTGCTGCTGGTGCTGGCGCTGGCGCTGGTGCTGGTGCTGGTGCTGGTGCTGGTGCTGGTGCTGGTGCTGGTGCTGGTGCTGCTGCTGCTGCTGCTGCTGCTGCTGCTGCTGCTCAGCTGCTCTGCCAGTGCTGGTGCTGGTGTTGATGTTGGTGTTGGTGGTGCTCTGGTGTTGTCGTTGTCGTCGTTGTTTGTGGTTGTTGTCGTCGTTGTCGTTGTCGTTGATGGTTGTTGCAATATGTAGGACTCCACAGTGAAATTCTAGGACTAAAGCAGGAGTACAAGCAGTAACAGTAGCCGTAGCAGTAGCAATAGCAGTAGCAGTAGCCGCAGCAGTAGCAGAAGCAGTAGCAGTAGGAAGAGTAGTAGTAG